TCCTAGCCTTAATATTTCATATTGGGTGTCATATTAAGGACTTTAAATCAACTATCTTGAATATCTCCCAAACATGTCTGGTTTAGACATTTATGATCTTCCCAAATCTCTTGAAACAAGCTTTCCTAAATGAAGATGATGTCCCATGGAAATCATACTTCTTTCACCTCCTCCAATTATTCTCCCTAACCCACAAGTTCTTGAAAAGTTTAAGGTCACTCAAGCCCTATTGGCAAGGCAAGGTCTAGGTGTGGTCACATCTTGGAGATGTAGTCACATATTGACAAGCCGGGAGAGTTGGGTGTCAAAGTCTTGAGAAAGTTGGTGGTTCAACTACTTTCTAAGTCACATAGTGAGTTCTTTTGGAACACCTATGAAACAGACTATGACAAGACCCTTAATGATCTTATCTATTTGCTAAGATCAACTTCCTAAAACTTTATGGACATTGACAATGGTGACACTGGAAATACAGAAAAGCATTCTCTTCCCAAGGAAAGGGATCCATAGTCAACTCGGTTGACCAAATGGTAAAGAGAAAAGCTAAGTCTGTGATAGTCCCGTGTACCATTATCAAAGGGTCCATATGTTTATATTGCCAAAGGAAGGGTCATTGTTGCGAAGCTGCCAAATTTACCTAAGGATGTTAAAGTCAATAAGTTTGACTCTACTTCAGGTAAAGTCCACTATCTAACTCTGTAAGTTTCTATTCTGAGATTCTTGATACATGATGTGACTGGGTCACATGGTGATGTTTTAAGAATCAAAGAAAAGTGAAGAACTTAAAGAAAGAATATGTTGAATCTGATCGCGTAGATGGATTTCTATCGCGTAGTTTGAAGATCGGATTCTTGAGCTACTTCTTAGGAGTTATGAGATATTGCTTAGGAATAGATAACAACAAGTTTTCATATGGATTGTAAGGATAAGTTTTTCCGCATAGTTTTAAAATAAAAGAAAATTTTTGATTTTATTTATTTTAAAATATCCTTACAATGGCATTTGAGGAAAAATTGTTGCTTATATGATTCCATTAATAGCAAGAGTGGAAATATGAAATTGATTCTTCATTTGTGGTAATGTCTAAATTTACCAAATAAGGAAAGATTCTCATCACCAAAGTCTCAATTGGACCGGACTTGGAATCATGCAAGTTGTATAGCATGATGAATGAGAACTTTCAAGTATTGGAAAAATTAAGACTAATTACTTGTTCACATGGATGTGTGAGTCAAGTAATGGACTAAGGGATCGAGTACATAGTCATGTGCACTGATTAAGTCCACCACAAAAGATATAAGGCTATTCGTCATAGTTTACTAAAGCTCAGTAAATATGATTATACTTACAAGCTTAAGTGTAACTCTGAGACATTGGAAAAGGTTCCAATGTAAGGCAGAGCGAATAAGAAGAATCAAATTAGGCAGAAGGATAAAAGTTTCTCAAATCTGAAAAGATGGGAGAGTACTTTAGTATCAGTTTTGTGATCATCTTAATGATTAAGAAACCATATCAAAATTAGTTCTCTAAGGAAGTCTTAGTGCATTCTTATGACTAAGAAGAAGGGATCTTGAATTGTTGAAATGGTTAAATCAAGAAGATGAGTCATACTTCGTTCCAATACAAGTCTTAGAGTCATACTCCAAGATTGTAATTGAGTGACATGTCTTAAGAAGGTTTAAAACACTTGTCAAATGTAAGAGTAAAAGTTTTCTACTCTTGTACATTTGAAATTGGTAAGTTGTGATGTTTTGGATAAAACAAAGACCAACTTAGGCCAATTGTGTGAAGTGTTTGTCTTGATTAGAATCCACACTATCTCTTGGATGTTTGACAAGGGAGTCTTATAGGTCAAGAGGACAGTGGGAGTCTTAAAGGTCTTGAAAGTCTCAAGAACTAATCAAGAATAAAACCTAAGTTCTTCACTAGCACACGACTTGAGGTTTATAACCTATCGTGTTGACATATTCTGTGCCCATTCCAGTTAAAGTTGGCTTTGCATATGAGTTCTTAGAGTTCTCAATTGTTGCACAACAACTTGGAAGCAATGGCAGGCCCTTGAGCTGCCAGGTGGCAAGAAATTAAGATTGAGTTCAGTCCATATGAGTTTGGATTTGTCATTATCCTTGTCTTGTGACTATGGTTTTGACAATTCACATGGATAAGAACACATACACCATTAAATCTAAGTGTCATAAGGTTTCTCTCCGATTCATGAAAATGATGGTGAGGAAACACTTTCACTAAGTAGATTTTAGTTAGATAGCAATTGTGATATTTGCATTCTCAAAGTCGTTAGTGGAGCGTGTGTGGTTTACCGGCACACTAACCTGGACTTGTGAGAAGTGGCAAAAAGGTCTAACCATTATGATTACGGCATCCCTCTTCATAATTGTTTAGACACACAAGTGTGCTATCTAAGGGAAGGTGTATGTTTTTGATAAAGTCTTATCAAAACAATCTAGTATCAGAAATCTGAACTTTGGTAAGAAAGTCAATAAAGTATTGATTTCTAGAAGTCGAGCTTTCTGAGTACATGTCAAAGCTAGTGGGAGCATAAGTGTTATGCTAATAATCATCATGTTAGTGGGAGCATGATAATTATGATAAGTATTGCAAGTTAGCAATGTTAATTATAGAAAACAAAAGTTTCAATTGGGAAAAGTTGTTTTGCTATAATTAAGGGAGAGGAAATTATACTTCATCTCAAATCTATAAGCTTAGATCGTGAGGTTTTAATCATTTAGTCAAGGATATATATGAATTTCATGTTGGAATGGCTCAACATAAGGAAATTCTGTATATGGGTCCATTATTTGCGTTCTAAAATTCGATTATGATTACGGCATCCCTTTTCATAATCTGAATTATGAGAACTTGGCAAATAGAAATGGAAATGTTATAGCAAAAGACTGGTTTAGTCTTTATGTGAGACATCATGAATCGTGTCCCATATGCTTCGGATATAGGATCGATTACATGTGCTATATTCATCCTTTCTAAAAGTTTCCAAATGCCTGGGGCATTAAGAAGGGAAAAGGTTTAGAACTGGATATGACTAAAAGGATTAAACAATTGTCGAGGACAATCTAAGGTTTACCAAAGATTGGTTGCTCAAGGACAGTTGGAAGTATAGTGATAATTCTGGAAGGACCATATTGACATAATCTGTAAGGAGGCAACTCTTGTTCAGAAGTGATAGTCAAAATGGAATATGGAAATGTTTCAAAGTTAGATTTTTCAATCTGTTTAAGATTAGGAAACTTAATGCAAGGAGTTGATCTCCTTTGGAATACTCTATAAATGATTGTTGCCAAGTCCTTGTGAATTTGTGCATAATCATTACAAGAGGATCAATGCATATAAGTTTAGAATCTAACAGATTTCAGTAAATGACATGAATTTGGAATTCTTGTATTTACAGTAAGGATTTGGGAGTGTGAAAAGAGAATCATTGAAGTTATGTTCAACTGATCTAGTTCACAAAGTAAAGATCATAGACAAACATAGTATGCATACTTGGTGTATGGCATGACTAGTGTTTAGAAAACATAGTGTACATGCTTGGAGCATGGGACAACTATTGTTTTAAATTCAAGAATTAAGTTGACAGCTGAAACAGTATACAATGAATAATGTGTAATCATATGGTGATAAATAAAATGTGTTTTATTTATGTTCATAGGTTTTGATACCATATTGGATTCAATTATTATTGTGTTTCATTTTGCATGTTTTGACTTCCCGAATAAACTAGGTTATTATTCCGGAATGACAAAGTTATTCAAACCATCCACAGTCGGTTATATGTTGGAAGTAGATATGAATTAAGACTGTCATGGGTTGGCTTGTAGAGGTCTAAGGTGTTGGACAAAGGGCTACAACACTCATGAGTGCTCACAAGTTCTGAGTATTGGATTCAACCCGCGCTCATTGGAATCACTTCATGGATTTTATCACGAGTGATCATGAGACGATAATATCTTATATTCTTCACACTACTAGAAAAAAGGCCTTTTACGACGCTCATTGCGCGTCGTAAAACGCTCAGACGACGCGCAAATGCGCGTCAAGGAAGGCCCTGTCATAAAGAGAGACGACGCGCTTTTGTGCGTCGTCTATAGACGACGCGCATTTACGACGCGCATTTATGATGCGCATTTACGACGCGCGGTTATGACACCCAATGCGTATCAAGGAAGGCCCTGTCATAAAGGAAGACGACACGCATTTGCATGTCGTAACCTTACGACGCGCGTGTTTATGACACGCAATGCGTATCAAGGAAGCCCCAGTCAAGAAAGGCCATGTCATAAATGAAGACGACACACATTTTTGCGTAACGTAATTTTAATTTTTTTAAAAAAGAATATATTTATATATTTATTAATTTATAAATTAAATTTGCATTTAATCTCTCATAATAGAAATAAAATACCATATACAAAAAATACAATCCATTGCATAATATAAAATAAAATACCATATACAAAAAAATACAATCAATTGCATTTAATCTGTATGTATAACAAAGACACGTGTTAAAATTGTTACCATTAACATCTAATCGTATGGACTCGAGTGTTAAACTTGTTACCATTAACATCTGATTCAGAAGTCCTTTCAACAAGATTGTTACCTGCATAAATGAAAACAAAGAGGAACATTAACAGCCCAGCTATGAACAATTTCACAAGATGCGCCAAAAATGATGATCATTACTAACTCCTTTCAAGGATAATTTGGTTTGGCTAGAAGATTAAACTAAATACAAATCATAAAGAATCTAAAAAAAGTCAAATGGGAGACTGCTATATATTACTCAACTTTATGATCAATTTGAAGCTTACTCTTGTGGTCTAATAAACTGTGTTTGCAAGTAAAACTTACACATGGTTGCTTTAGCAATTGATTTTGACATGTTATGATAGTTTTTTTTTTGTTTTGGAAGCAACAATTCATTACCAAATGGGAGACTGTTATATATTGTACATATAATTCTAGTAAATTCTACCAGAAGAGTGCATGTGCAGTTCAATCCTAGACACAAATATCCTAGTATTCAAAAGCTGCAAAACTCCCTTTGAATTACTCATTTTCTTCGACTACAATATCAAATAATCCAATTAGGGTTTATCATACTTTCAATGATGCAATAATAAAAAAAATTAATAAAAGTAATGTGATACCTTTGCAACAAAAAAACCATCCATGTTATGGACATGAGGGTAGAAACGTCTTGTCTTTTCCAAAGATCGATGAAATCTACGTTCTCTAAATCGAACAAACCTTCAAAAGAATAATACAAATTCTTTTAGACACAAATATATTCATCAATTTTTTTTAAAAAAAATAATAATAAATAGATACCTTGGGCGTCCAAAATCTAGTCCACATGGCACAAGTTTCACATCCCTCTTCTTCAGTGCATAGTCTATAACATCTTCATTCTGCAATATCACAAGGACTCAAATAAAAGATGTTGAAAATAAATATTCAGTCGTCAAATAACCCCCTGTTTTTGAATTTGCATCCACTATGTCAATTGTTGCAAGTATTAATTCCTGCAAATCAACATATTTAAAATTTTAACATAAGTTGCTTAAAATAGTTAATAAAATTTTACAAGAATAATTGCATAAGTGATGTAAAACTGAAAACCATACATAAGTGATCTAATTAAATTAATTGATAGAAAGCGTTTGGGTACCTTTTGTAGACGTGAGAAGTTTTGTACATCAATAGCAGCTTTAGAGGTTTTGACAGATTCATCTTTAGATATAACCTGTAAAAATCATTAAAAATAAATAAATAAAAAATCTTCTTATTAAACTAAAAACCATATAAAGCTTTTATGCTTATCCCAACACCACTACAAGGAGCATCCAACAAAACCCTCTCTGCTATGTTATGTCCCAATACTTTTGGGAGCTGAAATCAAATAAAAAAAAGCAAATTACAAAAATGCCCATAAACAGAAACTCAATATTATATAAAACTGAAGAGTATTTCTACAACAATTCAGTGAGGATGAGGGCATTCGTGTCTTTTTCACAAACGAGAGATTCTAACCTTTTTGGTTAAGACAAATGAGGAAGATATAAAATTCTAGAATAAGTAAGTTTCTAAATTCATGAAAAAAATACCTGTTGTCTTTTTGCAAGCTGCCATCTTACAACACGGTGGATAATTTCCTTCCGAATGGGAAGATCAAAAGCATCACATGCAAACACCATCAATCCTTTTCTTCTTTTTGAAGGTTTGTAACTAGGATCACCAGGTCCTATAGTTGACCTGTGTCAAAGTCTTCATTCAGAATTTAACCAAAATTGAAAAATATTATAAATGGTGTAATTTTGTAAACTTACCAACAACTACTTTTGTAAAACCAGAATGCATTTCAAGGCTTCCTAAAAATAGTTTTTTTCTTAACAGATCACTCTTCAAGTCAACACAACACAGATTGAAATGTTCACTGTTGACAGCTTTAAGAGGAAGTTCTACAGCCCACAAGCACTTGGGGGTCATCAATATGCTCACAAAAGGGATAGAGATGCAGCCAAACCTGAGTAATTTAATTAAACATCATTATTCTATGGATTTACCTACTGGAAATGTAGAACATCTTCTCCACCAGACAAAATGTATTTCCCATCCGAACTGATTAATTAAATTAAATCAAGATTTTTTTTCACTTGATAAAAGATTATGTAAGAATGACTTTTGTAATTTTATTACCTCCAGGCACAACATAGAACGGCACCATAGTAACTTTTTCCACCGCATATCAGTTGTTCATTTAAAAAATAAAACACATGTAAATAACCTATATTAAAAAAATGGAATCAAGATTAAAAAATGTAGGAAATGAGTTAGAATGTTACAGAGGAATGACCTCATATCGTTGAAGTGGAGGGTGGAGGGTATCCCTGTACTCTCAAATGAGTTGGTGAAGGGTGTCACAATTAGGGACCCACTCAATTAACCCACTGTTTGGAGACAAAGGAATGACCTCATATCGTTGACATGCCCCAGCTGCCCATTCTGCCCTTCCCTTTGCATCAATAGCTGCCCACTCACGTGCATCAGCTTGTGCTCTTTGAACAACAGCCCTTTCAGACCTCAAACGATATTTGCATTAGACTTTTCATCTCATTCTATGTTCACCATCTAATCAACACATTTTAAAAATCAGATTGACATTCTTCTCGTAGCTAATATTCAGAAGCATAAAGGAACAGAAACAAGAAATCAAGAGCTTCTGCATCTATTTATGCACTCATTATAATCCTGGATTACATCAGGAAATTGTAGAAAGAAAATACCTGTGAAGTAAAATGTGGCATATTCAACTTTAAAAACACCAAAAGTAGTTAAATCCTTGAACAACTATGCATTCCCCTGACTTATTGGAGTTTGCATATCACTAGACTCCTATCATTAATTATATTACCATGCAATTCTTCTAGTGTATCAGCCTGCATTTAAAAGAAACATGAATTCTCTACAGCCTACATTTACTTCTAGAAGTTTGATTGAAGGTAATTTTTCCATATCCATTATAGTTCAAAGTTGTTGAAGGTAATTTTTCCATATCCATTATTTTTTATTGTTTCAATTTAGACAGGTCACCGAGTTCCCTGTTATTGTTATTGACCTCATCTTATTCTCAATCAAAATATTTTTTCAGCTGAACATGGATCAGATGAGGGTACTAATTAATTTGGAACAAACAATAGATAAGAAAGTTGTCAAAAGTCTGAAAAGAAAAAATGGAGTTACCCTACTCATATACACGTAGATGACACGAGAAAGAGATGCACATGAGTTTGAAAATGTTCATTGCTTAAAACTCATTTGCAAAGACTAAATTTTTAACACTGTAAGACGCATAAACAAACTTTCTTTTGAGCAACATGGGAACAATTTCATTAAAAAAACATACCCCTAGCCATGAGCTCAGAGTGAAAGGCAATACAGAGACAATACAAGGATAAACAAAAAGAAAACAAAAGAATTAAACCCCCACCCACCAAGCAGAATCTGGAAGGAATATGCTTAAAAATGGCAAAACTAGCAACAGAAAAAACTGACCATTACCGCCCTGCAACAAGATACTCGCAGAAATCAACACCACAAGCATAAGCCCACAGACTTACTAAGATACCAAGATAAACCCAAGGCAGTAACATATTCCTATTATTTTGTCTTGTTTCCAAGTAGAGAAACCTTTTCAGTAATCCATCGATTCATCTTCCACTAATACCTTAGTTGCAAATGAATTTCAATAAGATGCAACCATCACTCCTCTTCAATTTCTATATTTCTCAATCGAAATTTTGAAGCTACCTATGATGTTACCATTTACCTTACATAAAAAATAAAAAATATCAAAACATTTTGCTAAAATTAGGTAACCCCAAATTCCATAGTTCAAGAGCTCGTAACCCTAGCCAATCAAAGAGAATAAGGATTGCAAGCAGAGTAGACATGATGCAATGATAAAGAAGATGAAGATGAAATACAATGGCAAACTATTCATAGATCGTGCAAAGACAGCATGTAGAAGACACAAACCTGCAACTTCAATTTTAAGGAGATGAAATACGTCATTAGGAACGGAGAAGGTTGCACTCGCTGTAAAAAAAACTAACGTGTAATTTAGTAAATGTGGAATTTCAAGTAATTAATGTAAAGGGAAAAAAAGACAGATGATTGATAGAGAACCCTATACCTGTGAGCTCAGATTAGCTGAATCGATTGCAGATGGCCTTGTGCTTCCAGATAAAGAACCCTATACCTAAAAATTCAACTTATTTGGGGTTTTTAAATTGCATATTGCCGAGGTTACCCCTGAGCAGGAACCACCATTGTTAGAAGAAGTAGAAGAAGATGAAGTAGAAAAAGAAAAGCCGTTTGAGATCGAGAGTATTGAAGTAGAAAAGAACGGGTCCCATTCCAATTTCAAAAGTTAACAAAACCGGAAAAGGAATCTGAAAAATACCCGATGATCCAGAGTTGAAAGAAGTTGAAATGGAAGATTGATTGTTTGAATTCGCTCATTTATTCCGAACCCTCGCACGTACTGGGTTGAGAGAAAACGAGAGAAGCGGAAGCTTGAAAGAAAATAAAACCCTAACACATGCTAGAGAGAAGGGAGGTGGCGATGGCTTAGGGTTTACAGAGAGACGGGAGGTAGAGAATGAAGGGAGATCTAAAGGAGAGAGTATCAGAGAGGGGAGAGTGGATTGCAAGGATGAAAGATAGATAGAAGATAGGAAAAACGAGGCGGGTTTTCAAAATTTTGGGGATTTCGTTTCCCCCCTCGTCTACTAAATGCGCGTTTCATTAAAATTATAAAGCGACAGGTACAGACGACGCGTGTTTAAGATAAAGTGCCATCCGTATTTTTTTTTTCTTGAGACACTAAATTAAGGGCACGCAATAATGCGTGACATAAATCCTTAAATTTTTTGGAGAGATAACACTATTTTAAGGGCACGTCCTTTTGCGTATCATTAATCAGTGCGCGTCATAAAAAGCGCATCATTAAAGGTCTGTTTTCTAGTAGTGTCAAACCTAGAGATATGAGTTGTTACTATGAGTTGATAGTACATTGATTGCACGAAAACGCATTGGTAACTCGATTTTATAAAACGTGTTTTTGTGTATGATTCAACAAGTAGTAGAACAAGCCATATGAGTCGAAGTTTATCCATTCCTTTTACCTTCAGGATAAAAGCGATATCTGTGGGCCCCTCGATGATTTGATGATGACAAATGGAAGTGCTTGGCCGGGCCAGGACTGATTTGATTTGTTCAATTAGTCAGTCGTCATAAATCGGAAATCGGGAAACAACAAATGGACAGAGAGAATGATTATAATCCATGTCTCAGTCCATATGATATCTAGAATGGAGGAATATATGATCCCTTATCTAATGGACAAGTCATTGAAAAAGGTTAGAGTTTATCGACAAGGTCAAAGTTCGACAGAAGCTTTTGAGAGCTACGATTGCCAGTTGGTTCCTGAAGTCATACGCAATAATAGTTTTAGACTTATCCAAGTGGGACACTGTTGGATTAATGTCTAAGTCCATAACTATAATTGGAAGACTTGACCCGACCCGGCATGGTCCATTTGGGTTGCATGGCATCATGCACTTGGATAGACTATAATGAGAGAAATAAGACACTTATGGTTATTAATATTATAAGTTCTAGTATATTAATAATAAGAATAATAAGATTATTTAACTAGTATTGATCAAGAATTAATCTAG